TGGAATTTGACACAACACTGTAAAATGATTATGAATCAATAAAAATGTAAAAAAAAAAAAAGGTAAAATGTCCCTTTCTCTGAATTTTCTATATGAAATACATCCTACTTTTATAGTCGGAATAAAAAGCAACACAAGTTATGTTTTTTTAAAAACACACACACACACAAACTAGGGTAATCATACCAACCTGAGATTTTCAGGAAAGCAGAAAAAAATTACTGGAAAGTTTTTTTTAAATTGAAGTATAGTCAATTTACAATGTCATGTAAATTCTGGGGTACAGTGTAATGTTTCAGGCATATATATACACACATAGATTCCTTTTCATATTCTTTTGCATTATATGTTACTATAAGACATCAAATGTAGTTCACTGTGCTATACAGTAGAAACTTGTTTATCTATTTTATCTATATTAGTTAGTATCCCCAAACCTCCAACTCCCAATTTACCCCTTCTCATCCCCTTTCCCCCCAGGTAACTATAAGTTTGTTTTCTATGTCTGTGAGTCTGTTTCTGTTTTGTAAATAAGTTCATTTGTGTCTTTTTTTTAAAGACTCCACATATAAGTGATACCATATGGTATTTTTCTTTCTCTTTCTGGCTTACGTCATTTAGAATGAGGATCTCCAGATCCATCTGTGTTGCTGAAAATGGAAAGTTTTTGAGAAGCCTTCGAGTACAAGACCCTGACCCCGGTGCCAGAGGAGGAGGGCAGAGCTGGCCACGCCAGTAGGATGACCCTAAATGTAGGAGACTTGGCCAGTGGGCGAGGGCTGCAGAGGCGTGGTCACCTGCCCTGGGAGGCTGTTCTGGGCCTTCTTTCATGCCTGTCACTTAACTTTGAGTGATTCCTTCAGGGGCACACAGACCATGAGATACCAAGGGGCTTTTGGTTACCTTACTGTCCCCCTGAGGGTATGTGATATTTTCTGACTCTCCTTTTGCTTAGGGAACCTGGTCCAGATAGTCAGTAGGCAGGGTGCTTGCAAGTGGGGTGTGTTTCTCGAAGTGTCTCAAAGTGAGTTGGGGGAGGCTTGGTATAAATCAAGCAGCGTGTGCCAAGTGCTCCATGGGGCTGCCTGCGTCCAATACCAAAGCTCAATTCCTCATATTTGTAATTCTTTTCAACACCGATGACAAATATTTCCCAAATCCTCCATATAATTTTCATGGGTGTCTTTTTGATACCGTTTGTCCCCATCCTATGAAAATCTCTCCTCTTTTAGAATCCCTTGTTTGTTGACTGTGAAGTTCCCGCTGGATTCCCAGCACCCATTTTTCACAGCTCTGACACCTGTCCATTGAGAATGATTTCCATGAGCCCATCACAGAGGGACTGACGTTCTCTTTCAGTGACAAGAAAAGGCTTGCCTTTAAAAGAAGAGGAAAAGTCAAAAGTCATCAAAACAATGTTAATATCCTGTGTGAAATGTTGCAGTCACAATGCTTTGTGGTTTGAGTCCCTTGATCATGTGCCCCGAGGGAAGTCAGGCGGTGGTGGCGGTGGTGGTGGCCTTGGATGACGAGACGCTCAGGGGTGTCTTCAGCTCACCTTACACTTGGGCTTCTCAGGGAGGAGGGGCTGGAGCCCTGGCCCACCGTGAGCACCATGATCCTCAGGCTACTCCTGGCTCTCAACTTCTTCCCCTCAATTCAAGTCACAGGTAAACCATTTTGATTTCTTTCCTCCTCCAATTTTTTCTTTTGAGCTATTAGGTTCATTTTAAATTTCAAAAAACTTGTGAAATTTGGACATTTGAAGTGTAGTTTTTTGCTACAGAGCAGCAACCTGTTATTTAGAAACTCACTGATTCTCAGGCTACAGCCAACAAGATATTTTAATGAACATTCTTTGGAATTAAATGAGATTTATTTAGCTGTTAGTTGCTAGTGTCCCAAGAGTTTTTAGATTATGTATATACATATATATTTTTTAAATTTAAGAAAGTTGCAGTAGGCAGCTTGGTTCTGAAAGATCCATTTCTTGCTAGCTGAACTTAGACTAGTAGTTAAACTTTCTGAGCCTCAGTTTCCTTATCTGTAAAACGGGATAATAACCTCATCTCAAGGTTTTTGTGAAGGTAAAAATGAAATAATCCACGTAAAATGTTCAGCACAGTCAGTGCTTGGTTAGCAAGATAAATGTTGGTTGTAATTACCATGGCTACCCAAATTGTGAATGAGTGCCAAAATGAATTCTGGAGTTGTCACAGAAGCTAGTACAATATAGATAATAAATCAGCTTTCTTTTACAGTTGGCTGAAATCTGTTTTTCCAGGTTGAAATCCTGTTTCCAATGATGATGAGGATGAGGATGAAACACTTGAATCTATTACAGTTAACTCCATTTCGGATGAAGAGATGGGGATAGAAATGTTAATTTGGCTTAAGATATACTTGTCCTAGCTTGGAACTGAGGACTGAATGACCTTAGTCTAACTCTAGAACATGTATTCTTATGCTATTCCACCTAATATGATGCGGTTTATAATTTCATAGCTCTCAGTTATGTCCAGGGTTAACTTACCTTCAGAAAATCACAATTCCAAACAGAAAGAGCTTGTTGCTTTGGTGGTGGTGGTGGTGAGGTATTTGTTCAACTTGTTCTCAGAGTTAGAAAAGGGAACCACTTGGCTCCAAAACTGGATCGATAGGGTTTAATAGGCATATTTAATTAAGGAGAGTTGTATTTTTCCCTTGAAGATGCATTGAAAAGCCAGTATCTCCAATTTTCTTTCTCACTTATGTTGGTAGTGCGGGGACTCAATTATTGTTCTTAAACATCATGTGCACGAGCTCCAAAGGGTATAATTACCCAACGTGCATGAGTACAATAGTTACCTGTCTACCCATCCATTTTGTTGTCTGATGTGCCACAGAGCACATTTACAAATTGTGTGTATTTACAAAATATGTTGGTAGAATAAAGAACATGAACTGGTGACGAGACAGGTTATGCTCCCGCATCTGGTACCCAGAACGGGGAGCTACCAAATATATTTAAAAAGAATCTTCAACATTGATTTAAAAAAGCCTTTAAACTTTATTTGTAGGGGACCTCTAAAATTTATTTTTAAAGAATATTTAAAACTTCTTAATTTATTAGACAGTATAGTATAGGCATAAAGGAGAGAGAAGCCTCATTCTGACAGAAAATGATTTAAAATGGGTAATCGTCCACAAAGCCCTTTTCTGGCGTGTTTTGTGGCCAGCCGTCCATCATCAATTCATTCACTCTCCTTTGAAAATATTTTTTATAAGACTCACAGCTCTCTATTTTCCCTTTAGAACACTTATTAAAAGGGGGCTAGTTGAAAAAGCAGTGAAGAGTTCACACATGTGGAAACTGTGTTTTCGACTTTGAGATACGTCTACTCTTCAAACGCCAACTCACCCTCATAAAAACTTTTAAGATTTTACGCCTCTTCCAGTAAGAAAACTAATGAGAAAAAAACAATTCCAACATACAAACATGTCTGATCCATCCTCATCAGTGGTGTAAAACCTTTCTCTGTATTTACTGTCCACGAGGGAGTTCTAGATAAGGAAATTCTCTGGTCGAAGTGTAATTGTCCTCCCTAGGGGTTGTGAGAGACTACTACTGTGTCTGTGTTGGGCTATGTGTGTGTGTATTTGTGTGTATGTGTGTGTGCGAAGAACAGTTTTTTCCCTTCATTAATTTAATACATTTAACTCATTGGCTCACAGCACAGCTTAAAATATTTATTCTGTGAAGGTTTAACCTGATTCTTCATGATTTTGATAACACTATAGAAAGATCTTTATGGCTAAATTAAAGAAATCTGATTTAGGAAGCATGCGGAAATATGAACTTACACCATTCCTTTACTAATGCTATATGTTTTTTCCTGGATTTGGACAATTGTGCAGTTGAGGTCCACAATAGGGGACTTTGTTGGACTTTGGAATAGGAGTCCAGCTTAGAGCTGCAGGCCCTTGAAAGGGAAACAAATTGTGTCTGATGATAGAAGGTGTGCGTATAATACATGGCATTGTTCTTAGATTTTTTAGCCAATGCTGGTTATTTTTCAGCAAGCTAATCATCCAGTATGAAGACAAAAATCAGGACAACACCATGTATTTTTTCCATGAGAGCACTTCTTTTCATTTCTTCCCAAACCTTAGCAAATAAATTGTCAACAATGGCCGATTTGAATGCTATCGATTTCTCCAAGGCTGCTGCATTCCCCAGCACTTCTTTTTCTGAGAGAGGCGTAGGAGGCAGGACAATGATGGGTATTTAATACAAAATCATCAGCAAAACAAAGTAATTAAAGACTTTATTTTTAGTTTGGCAAATGACCTCTCTTTTTGGCCAGCGGGCGAGGGCTGCAGAGGCGTGGTCACCAGCCCAGGGGAGGCTGTTCTGGGGCCCCCTTTCATGCCTGTCACTTAGCCTTGAGTGATTCCTTCAGGGACTCAGAGGCCACGAGATACCAAGAGGCTTTTGGTTACCTTACCATCCCCCTGAGAACATGTGATTTACCTCTTTCAGGAAAGCGTAGCTCGGAGGCTGGGCTTGGGCAAGTAAGGTAAAAAGATGGACAAAGAAAACGCAGTGTAATTAGCAGATCACTGTAAATGCATGACACCCAATATACAAGTAGCCAGTTTTTCTGACTGTTAAAAAATTGACTGGGTGTTTTGTCATTTCCAGGAGGCTTGCTGGGTATTTCAAAAGTGTACTCATTGCTTAAGAATTTGTTTTACTCTACTATCACACCCTAAGATACTACTTTTTTTTTCCCTAAGGCAACCATCCTCCATCCAGAAAGGACTTTTACAGCAAGGAATGTAAAATTAATACCAATTTACCAATACCAGGAAATAGAATGAGTCATTTTCCCAGACAGATTAGAAATAGAAATGAATCTGAGATCACAACTCTGAAGCTCTCACATTCAAACCTTTACAGTGGGGTGGGGAGGGGATCTCACTACCTCTCCTTTAAACATAAGCCATCCCCCATTTTAATATCCTTGTTCTATTTTCACGAGTGTTAAAATGCCGCATGATGATCATTCAGCTTTTATCATGTGTGGATAACTTCCTCCAAGTATTTCCTGCATGCAGTGTGCTGACATTTACAAAATGAAAAATTTTATGCCACCAACATCCCAGAAGAAAATTCTGTTTGTGGTTTATCATCTCTAAAACAATAGCTCTTTATTAACTGATATAGACATTGATAAGGCTACACAATTCACTGCAGACTTTCTTGTCTAAAAATTAGAGGGCAGGCCCTCCTTCAAACGCAGTTATTTCACAGCAGGTCATTGAAAAGGATAAAGTCTTCCTTTTCCCCTTTCCATCTTGGTTAAAATTTTGTTTGCCTTTTTTGTCAAGAAATTTATCGTTTATGGAACTTCATAGAGGCTGGAACTTTTCTTCTCAGTTGATAGTTAAGCTGAACTTGAGAAAAAAAAATAACATCTGGGTGGCTTTGTGACAGATTGAAGGGGTCCTTGGTTTTCTAAGATGTGTTCAGGAATCGATGTCTCTTTTATGGTAATTTCTTTGATGCTTTTTGGTCAATGACATGGTGTTGTCATCAAAAAAATGTACCCAGAGCTTTCGGTCTGAGAATCATTGCATGAGAATTGGTCCCTGAAGCTGGAGGAAAGGTAACCCAGGCCCTGTGGAAAGTGGGTGTCTAATTTTTTGCTTGTTATTCTCATTTTGATGACTCTGTCACTGGAAGAGAGGTGTGTTGGATGGGTTCAAGGACTATTCAGCTGCTTGTTAGACAATGTGAGAAGGAAGTTTAGACTTCTTGGGCCTTAGGATTTCAGTGCTAATTTCATAGGCATCTTAATGTAGTCCGTGTGTGACCACACAGGTTTATGTTTCGTTGCTGGAAGAGAACTGCATGGTGGTGAATTTCTTACCTAACTTTGAGCTGTAACTTTATCTCTGCATCACCATTACCATCATCTTTTTCATTTGTCATCATCTTCTTTATCTTGGGGACTCTGGCTGCCAAGGCAACCAGGTTAATTGTTTCTGATGATGTCATGAGTGTCACCCACTTGGCGTTCACTCTGACCTCTGATCTAAAATTGTGAGCCCCTTTCTGCAATATCAGTCACCTTGTAGGCTCACAATCCACACATAGTATATTGATTATAACAGTAACTCCTAGTCATTTCCCACTCATTCACACGGAGCTGAATTATTGACATGTCTTACATTTTAACAGTGACGTAGATTCCCCTGTTAATAACTTGGGGGGGGGCAATCTTTTTTAACTTAAGAAGGTAGAGGGTTGTGCTTTTCAGTGCTTAGGGATACTTGGCCCAAGAAGTGTCAGAACATCACTAAGGCTGTGTCTTCAACTTCCATGTGACCTGATGACTTTCTTTGAAATGAGACACTACTAATAATAGGTGTATGTAATTTAAGAGCTGCTTCAGGAATGTTGAGTCCAGGAGGGGTCCATTTCTGATTCACAGA